ATCTCACGTAGACATTAAATATTGATGTCAATGTGATGATATCTTTCTTTTCCAGGAAATACACTGTCTAATCAAGTCATGGTTGCTAAATTTTAAAGTATATGTCACTTGAATATGATTTGAAAGACGACGATTTATTTTCAATTTTACAACCATGACTAGAATTAAGCGACATATTTATCTAGTTGTAAGACACGTCAAAATTAACATTCACGTTGGATTTGAATGTAAAATCTTGTAAGAGGACTAATGAAGTACTAAAATTTCAAGTAAATTAAGTTCAGTGATCTGATTTAGACAAATTAAAGTTGAGTGGTTTGATTGAGATCTCTGTGAAAGCTTATATACCAATAATGAAATTATCATTTGCTAAATTATTAGAAGACTTGACTCAATGTTCAAAATTGAAAGACTTCAAGAAAGTTTCACAAAAACTTTTGATAAAAATATTCAAAATTTTTATATTAATGATTAATTTAAAATTTTTGTTACGACAAGTAAGAAGTGTTCACAATTAATGTTAAATATTTTTTTTCTAAAATTAAATATTAATTAGTCCAAGAGCAAGGTGGAAAACTATACCCAAAACCTGTACCAAGTCAAATTTCAACACCAAAAACCTGTACCTATTCAATTTATCATAACATTGTTCATGTGTTTTTTATCAAATCCTCGAAGATACCAATCTATCTGGGGAGAGAAATAGAAAAGAAATTCGGAGACAAGTTCATGGATTCATTTCAATGCAGCAGGGGATGTTTCAATTGGACTGAATGCAGGGTTGCCTACGAGCTCAATTATCGGAAAGTTATGGAAGACAAATTGGAATCCCCAATGCCATGGATTGGCATGTATATTGTAGCAGCCTCTGTAGTCTGCTCCCTTGCAATGGCAGCTGATGCATTCCATGGTTTTCGTAGTAAAATGCTGTGGTTCCCATGTAAGTATTTCTCTTTCAATGCCATGTCTTTGACACTATTAACTGTCACATTGAAACTACCAGTGGATCTTACTGCTGTTACCGATGGGGTTCGTGAAACCCTTGCACGGGTTAGTAGCCTCGTTTTCTTGTCAACTGCGATGGCAAATTTTATGACATCTTTGGGATCCATGGAAGATAATGAGATGCTACTAAACCTAGCTGCTTTAGGTATTATGATAATTACAGTCATTGGCAATGTTTGTATCCACCTTATCCAAATGCTTAATTTTACATATGTTGTAAATACTGTCGCAGAAATTGTAGCAACAGGTTTTATCTTTATTTCACTTGTTAGTTTTTGTTCTTCGGCTTTGACCATTCTAACTACCAGAAGTTACATAGAATGCAAGTACCAAGAAATGCGCAAAATAGCTTTAGATGAAGAAAAAGTGGAAGGGCCAAAATTTCCACTTGACAAATTGACACTAGTGGTCAAAAAATATTGGGTGATGGCGGTAACAGGATGCCCCCAGTTTGTAATGGCTCGTAGTGTGACTTGCACTGCTTCAAGTTTGATGTGTGTATTAGTTGCTCTCACTTTAGCAGGACTTAATATTTCGACGGCAACAGGACAACATGAGACTTATTCTGCCTATAAGTGGTCAATCAAATGGATTCTAAACGTTCAGTCAATTGGAGTGGCATTGGGTACTATTGCCCCTGCATTCAGATGGTTTACTGCTGCCCGGTATAAGTGTTCTGATTTAAGCAGGAAAAGCTTCAAAAACGAGTTGAAAATCGAGACTTACTGGATTCAGAGACTTGTGGACTGGAGAGAAAGCTCATTACCTTTACAAATTCAACACCACAAGTGGAAAAAATTTCTTCATGCTGTAAGAAGACTAGTTCTGAATTGCTGCATTGGAGTACAGATTCTAGTGGTTTGGGCAAGCAAAATTGTTCTTCTCATTTCTGCCT